TTATCCTGGAGGTACTACGTACAGTGTGTGACGTAATTATTAGGGACAGTACTCATATTTGTGTAATTTCTAGTTTAGTTCGTTTTATGAGCAAAGGATTTGGTTTCAATAAGATTTGTAGTATTAATGTCATCACCCATCATTACTATTGTTTACAATAAGTAGAACACTGGATGCCTGCGTTTTTTTACGAAATAGATCGGTATATAGATCGAAATATATTCGGTTGAAGTTTATTGAAAACTGCTGCTGTAACGAGGACATACAAATTATTTTTTAATTGTATTTGCCAAGTTTTTCCTTTCCAAAATAATTAAAAGGTAAGAATTGTTCCTTACTGCATTACTTTTACTAAATTTTATGAGTGCATTGCATTTCAGTTGACAATGTAACGTCACAACTTAAAAGTTTTTATTATCTAGTAGGGTAACGTTTCAGACTCGTCACCAAGGAAAATTAGAGAAATACAAATACTGTTACTTCAACACACACATTAACAGAGAGTTGTAACAACTATTGGAGGTATTTCGAAAACTGTCCTTAAAAGAATAAAAAAAAATCAAAACAAGTCCCTGGAGGCATATGGGTAAATGTGGGAAGAAAAACATCAACAGTCTTCGTACTGATCCTAGAATCAGGGATATCTGCCTCAAAAATCGTAAAAAAATCGTGATGCTTGTCTAACTAGGACGATTAACGCCGAAAAGTAACAATTCCCAAAAGGAGAGTCCGGAGACAGCCGAAGAGAACCTTATCGGCCGTCGTCCTATCAAAAATTACGCCTCACCCAGGCCCTGAAGAAAAAGAGACTGCAATGAGACTGACAACACTGAAATACGACTGTTGCAGACTCGAAAACCTTTTTATACACGGTGGATATCATATACGTGAGTCGATGCCCTGTGTCGAGAAAACGCAAAATTTCGCAGATTACGGGAGTTCCTACGCTCTTACTCGTAATGCTAATGAGCTCGGTTTTGGACTTTCACAAGTTCTACATGCACAAAGAAGTAGAGGTGTTTGAAATCACATTGGTGTCAAAGAAGACGGTATATAAATACCTTTATTAAATTTTAATCGGGGAGCCTATCTTATTTCAGAGAGAAAAAAATATTGTACATTGAACAAAAATCACATATATACGCGCCACCGCCGTTGACCTTCTACTTCCCGGATCCAGAGCAGATTCTTCGTTGCGCAATAGTGCGCATTTCTTAAGTTCACACGTCCTCAATTTGTAAACGTTCGTCGGCAGTGGACAGAATTTTGTTGCAGAATGTTCTGTTAGTTGAAGAGACAATCTACAAAACGATCAAAACAATCAGAGACAATCTACAAAATTGTTGCAAAATGATTGATTAAATAAAAGGAAATAAATATACTGTGATTTATCTTCAGTGTACACGTGTTTTTATCTTTTTCCCTGATAGGCTTCCCAGATAGGAGTGTTCGAGTAGGTGTGTTTTTTTTTTCTTTTTCCCTGGAATAGGATAGGCTACTCAAATTAAAATTTAATAATTAATATTAATGTATTTTGATACACATCTCCGCTGAAATAAATGTGATGACGAACACCCCTACTTCCTTGCGCATGTAGAACATGTGAAAGTCCAAATCCGATTAGCATTACCAGTAAGTGCATAGGAAGTCCTGTAAATATAACAGGAAATCTGGGCGAAATTTCTAGTTTTCTGACATGGTGGCGACTATACGATGTCAGTAATGTCAGCTTATCCCTGCGCGCTACAGAATGGCGAATACCAAGTTCTAGTTGCATCGTTTTTGCAAAAAATACTTTCGAATATTAACAATATTTATATCATTGCATTTTATTTTCAAAGAACTTTAAAATGCTGGATAAAAAATGTATACTTCCATTAAAAAACAAAGTTGTGTCATTATCTGTAAAATTACATACGTTACTAACAAGAAAACAAAATATGGTATTAGCCCCATCATCTGCAACAACGTGGCGTAAACAGCATCTCAATACCTTAAACCGTTTGCAAGATATTTCCTGGCTAACTTAGGTGGTCCATCCTGAATATCTAAAGCACTAGTGCATTTCATCAATAATGATTTTTGTGATATTTTACAGGTATGCTTCTGTGACGAATCAATGTTTCCGACTCAAGTTCCGTTTAGTTGACAAAAGTGCATTTGTCTGACGATGCCCTGGGGAAGAGTTCTATCCAGACTACTGGTGGAGAGGATGAAACACCCGTTTAGTGTCATGGTGGGGTCTACGATCTCAGGGAAGGGTATATGGGGCGACTTTGCATCGTAGAAGAAACCATGAGGCAAGGCCAGTACAAGCGAGTGCTAGTAACTCTACTACTGCGAAAGCTCACAGAATGGTAATTAAACCTGGTGATTGAGCTCTTGTGGTTACTAAAACATTTTTATGTACGATTTAGTACTGTGCCACAAAGCCATGAGTATCACTGCATCCTGGCAAAGAAAAAAGATTGAGAGGTGTGAGAACTCTCCAAACAACCGATTGCCAAGCATGTGACCACCACCAAGAGACAGTTAATTGAATTTCTCAACAAAAAATGGCATCTAAACATTTAACTGCAACAAAATGCAAAAGCCTGTGTAGAGAGCTTGTTGTGACGTATTGAAGCTATAATTGCATCAAAAAGTGGCGTCACTAAATACTTGTATTAATTTTATTGAAAAATAATTTTACCTTAATATCTTGTGTTTTTTTATGATTTTAATAATGCACGCTCATGAATAAAAAATGCTTACGAATAAAACAACCTACGCAAAATGTAATTCAATTACAAAACACAAAAGTGTGTGTTCTGCCCCTAATAATTTGGCCACCCACTGTATTTCATTTTTATACTGTGGCCACATAATGATCTCTGTACTGACACAATTTTCATCTCTGTTCTTCAAGAACGCTGTTTCCATTGAACCCATGACATCGAAAACAAGATATACTAAGAATGGATGGAAGATGTCCTTGTGATTATTACCCACTGAACATACTTTCAGAACTATGGGTTATCGCCGAATTTTCCTCGTGCAGTCAAAGATCGTTTATAATGATTAGTAAACATTTTGTAATTAAGACGAATAGAGGCCAATTACTTGGCCCCCAAGAACTCCATCTTCAACGCCACTCGAGGATGACTTATGAGACTGTGACCGTCTGAGACACGTTCTCAAACAAAAAGCCTTCCGAAAATAGCGATTGTAACCAGACACGACGTCGGATGGACTCCTCCTCGCCGTTTCGCCATATTTGAGAACGACGACATCGCCTCCGACGCCCGCGGCTGGCGCGCGAGGCTTGCAATCCGGGGGAGGCCGGCGGGCGCGTGTTGCCCCGGTCGCGACAATGACCTTGGTGCGCGGTCGCTCGCTCGCAGATGCTGCGCCCCTCGGACGTTACATGAGTCTACCCCTCAGGGCTCGCGCTGCGTGTTTCTGGTTGTTTTGGTGCAGAATATGGCGGTGAGTCATAGCTTCGCAACGTTTGCGGACACTGAATGTCACTTCTTCTAAGAACTGTGGTAGGACTTCTTGTTAGAAGATGTATGTATCATCCAGTGGCTGGTGCCCCGACAAACTAGGGGGTTCAAGCTCCACCGAATGAGAGAAACGTAATTTCCAAAATTCAGAACACTAATCAAACATACGGAATTCAAGTGAATTAATTAAAAATAAGATTATTAATAGTCTATATTGAAACATTACTTACATAATTTTATCTCTTGTTAGTGTCAGGCATGTTCATCTCCTGTTCGCATGGTTCTGGCTGTGATTTGCAGTGGGCACTCGAGTTTTTGCTTTAGTTCTGCATTGAGACAATTGCTAGTAATAGAATTCTCACAAAACAAAATAGAATTTTGTTTCGAAAATACAGTGATCACACTCCACAATTCTTTTGTTTGAAAATGTTTACCCAATTGTTCATTTTATAATCTTGATTTTTATTACTGCTACTGGTAGTGTTAATAACGAAATACAATTATTTTATTTTGAAAATGTCAATACTCTATTATGTATTGCAATAACAAAAGATCTTTCCTCGTATTTCCAATGAAATAATCTGACATGTGTCGCCTATCGTATCTGGCTTCGTTCTGATCCCAGACAAAATGTCACTTTCCTATTTCATTTGTTTTCAAACTTCTGAAATAAATTTTGTCCTAGGTTCTTTCTCGTTTATAGACAGTTATTTGTGTTGTTCGTATACCAAAATTTGTATTAAAACATGCTACTGTTGGTCATTCAATTTCCCTTGGTAGCGTCATTTGAGGAAATATATGAAACATTTTTATTCTAAAATACAATTTGTCCTACATTGCGACTGTTTCTAAGCATTAGCCGTATAGCCCAATCATTAAGTGCTAAAAATGAGTGTTCTAAAACAAATTGTTGTGTAGTTTTCATTTTTGATCTTTTTATGGGGTGTTTTTTGGGGTGCTGATTACGACTCTTACGTTTACCAAAAAATATATCCGTTGGAATTTGAGTCACAAATAAATTTTGTTTTTTCTACATCTAAAAAACTAACGAATTTAGGCAAAAAATACACTTTACCAAAATATTTTACATAACATTTCTTACAATTTAGTTCCTTATAAATTTTCTCATTTTATTCATGATATTAATAACAATAATATTTAATTTTATCCATTTGTAATATTGTTCTTCAAAATCAAAACTGTGACAAAAAGTACCAGACATTGCATACGAAAGGTTTCAGATAAGAAAAAGTTTATTAAGATGAAAATTATTAGGAAGGCCGATAGTTGTATTGAACACAGACCCGAAGGTATCTGATTAGCCATTCCATTAAGTAGCTGAGCTACAAATTGTAAGGGACTAACTTGTAGAAAATTTTATGTACAATATTTTGGTAAAGAGTAATTATTGCCTAAATTCGATAGTTTGTTAGGTATAGGCAAACAACCGAAGAAACTAATTTTTTCATGTGTTTTTATTATAACTCAAATTCCAACGGAAATATTATTTTGCAGGCTTCACATTCGCAATCAGGACATCAAAAAACAAAAAGGAGCAAAAACTGGAAACTACACCACAATTTGCTTTAGCAAACCACGCAATGACTGGACTAATAGTGGTCATGTTTTTTATATTTAATGTGTAATGAATAATCTTCAGTATTAATTGTTACTTTCATTCTTGTACACATGTGAGTCCTGAAATCTGCATCGTATTTACATTTGACTTCATTAACATATAGATGGCGACCATATTCTGTGTTTGTAAATGTTGTGGTTTATTTCCAATTCTGAATTCTAACGTCATCAAAGGATTGTTGTTTCAATTATATTGAACAGATATTTGTACTTTGTAATGTTTGATATACCTCATTATGTAGATAGTGGCAATACATCCGCCACAGCGGGGACTCGAACCTCAGGAACCCGAGTAGCTCTGAGCTGACACAGCCGGCTCCAGCCTAGAGGTACGGAGCCTCGCCACTTTTACCCTCTCGGCCCCAGCGCCGACTCCGCAGCGCACGCGCTCGGCAATTTGTGCGGCGAGGGCGACCTTGGTGGGTGGCACGGCCAGCCACACGACCCCACGCCACACGCCGCACTCCACCCCCCGCCCTCCGCGCCTCGCCGCGCGGGCGGGCGGGTTTCTCGGCTTTAACGATCATTTTCGCCATAAACGCTCATTCCGACGCGTCCCCAGATGAAGATGGATGGTCTTTGGCGGTCGGTTTCTCGCCCCAGCCGCCAGCGCGCTCTTCCGCCGGCCGCGCCAAACGCCAGCCGCGCGTTCCCACACGCCCGCCATTAAGAAGCGCGCGCTCGCCCACGCAGCTGCGGCGCGTTCAACCCCGCGGCGCGACGCGGAACAGGGTTAACCGCGCTTGGGAATATTACATGTTTGGGCCTGCTATCCGAGTTCTGGAAATGCGGCCAATGGCCCAAATCTGACATGGACTGACATGCAACTAAATGCTACAATATATATTATAGAAAATGAGTTATACTATATTCTATATTAGTATTACATTATATTACAATTTTTGTAAACAAATATTATTGATTACATCGTGTTTCTACTACTATTATATCAAGAATGTTCATGTATAGAATCATTTCAGGTACAAATCCTACAAGTGTGTTTCTCATTATATTATAAATAAATAATTTCTACTCCATTTTCACCTCACAAGCATGCAGTTCCGAAGAAAGTGTTCTTGGTAATTTTTCGATTTCGTCGCAGCCTGTACACCGCCGCAATTTTAAGTGTATTTCCAAGACTTTAAGGGCTGTTGTAAACTCGAAAAGCCATTCGCGCCATTTTGAACAGTTCGCAGCAATTTCGAGGGATTGGCAAAAGTTCTGACGGTATAGTTCAGAACAATTGAGGGGCCTTGCAGACTGTCGTAAAGTGCACCCCAATTCTGACAATTCACACATTTCGATTTTTCATATTTCCTACTAAAAAATATATATTTTTTCGACAATCCATAAAACTATCAACAGAACTTCGATTCACTATAAGCATACCGTTGTGACAGTTTCGGAAGAAATAAAATCGCCAAGACATTGCTGTGCAAAAACGAAGTGTTTCTTAGCAAAATCACTTAGGAACAATGTGTTTATCTGATTTCGGAAAAGTGGTGAAATTCAGCTACTGCATTATTATTATTATTATTATTATTATTATTATTACTATTATTATTATATTGTATGATAGAAAATGGCTTCAATCTTATGACATAAGGAAAACGCGGTTAGTGATGTAATCTTACATGATAATGTGTTTCATTCATCATTGTTTTTGATGAAGGTCACATAAGTTGTTCAGTGGTTCAAAAAACAGAATTACATTGCCATTAACCATGCTTTCCTGATGTCATAAGACTAACCTTCAGTGGTCTTTCCTGCTCTGTAGAATATACTTCTGTTAATTGTATTATTATTATTATTATTATTATTATTATTATTATTATTATTATTATATAATACAAAACAAATTGCATATTTGTTGGTATTATGTTTCTCATTGTATGTTAAAAATTTCAGTGAAGAAATAAAGAACTTCGAAGGACGTTCATTGTCAAATCTCTCTTCTCGTCTTTTCGCATTATGCTTCCTTCCAAACTTTTTCAGATTACGAACTTTTCTTGGATCTGCGACCACATGGCTTCGAAAATTGCTGCAGTCATCTATCCATAGTTTGCGCAAAAATTTAGTTTGTGCTTTGCAATGCACATAACTGGAACGTGCAAACGTTAGTGCGAGAATTACAGTTCCATTAATATTCACTAAATTTAAATTTTACGTGGGATGTTAAACATTTATTTTGAGTTTTATATTAATATTAATAAATGAGTTCTGTATATAAAGTATGAAGACTTTGTAACTTACCATTTTCTTTGCATTTTAATAATTTCATGAACTACACAAACCGAGAGGTATCGATTTTTCATCTTCTCTCTATTCTATTTTGCTTATTTCCTAACAACATTGTATTTCGACCGTATTTTGACATTACTATTATAAGAGCTCAATTGTATTTTGCAGACATCTGAATCCCTTTGTACTAAAATTGTGAAATAATATTCCCAATGCAATAAAACCAACACTGCATGAAAACAAATTGGTGAATTTTTAATTTTTTGTTGTATTTTTCACTCTATTTATGCGTAGTAGCTTATGTCAGAGTAAATATAAAACATGATCTAAAGAGTCTCTCTAAAATTATAAGTATACCTTTTTATAAATGTAGAATATGATATGATTTTCAATTGCGTAACTTCCAAGTTATATTTGGTCTCAATTTTTTGTCGTACTTGAGATATTAGTATTTGGAGAGTCTGATCAAAAAGTGTAGACTCAAAATTGGAAGCTCGGTAATTAACACACTTTTTAAAATTTAAAAACCATTTTTTTATGAAATTATAAACTATATCTTACCAGCGAATGATTCTCATAATTGTTGATCATGTAATTGACATCTCAGTTACAATTAATCCACAGTAGGTGACGTAGATGTAAATTTGAAATCAGCGTAAATGCAAACACTTATACACGCGCCCAGATTTACCTGCACCGAATTGAAACGTGTTGTGATGTGACAAACAACGACAACGAAAAGGAGACGGATGCATTAGGATGAGGCACAAATATCGCGTGATTCGTGGACTGTTTTATAGGGTACTCCTCCGGTATTCACCTCGTCGTTGAAATTACTGAAAACACTTATTTAGCATTTTTCTGTGGTTACTTCGATCAATATCAGGAGAACGATGGAGCTGTACTTTATCAAACGCACCGCGGACAATCTGTGATCTTTCCTACCTCTTCACATGTTCATGCACTTCTCTACCACGTGTGTTGGAAGACCCATTCGGGAGCATAGAGCTTGTGCCGGTTGAGGCGATGCCACTCCGGGGGAGATACCTGGAGGTGAAATCCTCGCAAGCCGACGTGTTGGTCAGCGCTGGATCTCATCGTGTTGGTAAAGAGGGTCATCGCCATACAGCGGAGAAAATCGCTACATTGTCGGATCTAATCACCACAGCAGTTGGCGTGCACGCAAGCGCCTCTTAATCCACGCATCACAGGCGACCAGCCCGCAGGTGCCGGGGCGGCGCGGCGCGGCGGGTAGCGGCGTCCGCGACCTTGAAAACCTTGGCCGCGACCTTCCGGCGGCGCCCGGTAGCGCGCCACGCCCGTCGCCGCCCGGCCACGCGACGCGCAGCGCGCGCCTCTTGTTATTGTTGTTGTGGATGCCAACGCGCCGCCACGTGGTCGCGGTTGCAATCGCACCCTCGTGTTACGTCAGGCCCCTTCCCTCCGACGCGACGCGACGTGAAGCGGCGTGGAGGACCCCCCGACGCCCTCGCGGCCGGCGCTTGCCCGCGATCGCCATCACGTAATCAGGTGCTCTCGTTTCGTCAGGCGCCCCTGCGCGTCCAGGCTAGGGCCAACACAACGTCGATGTTTCTAGAAGTCTCCTTCCGAATATTTTGCAGCCGTCTCTCGCATCCCAATCTCCGTACCCCTCAATTTAGTCATTCTCTTCTACAACTCTTTTTTGCATATCTTTAAAAACTTGATTCTGCCATTCTTCTCTGGGACCTTTTTTTTCTACCAAATGGAAACCACTTACTAAGAATTGTAAATGTCGATGTTTCTAAACATGACGTTGAAAATATAATAAACATCGCCCCCAAAATATCGATGTTTATCCAACTGCATTTTAATAATTAAATTTGTTCGAAGAATGCATTCAAACATTGTAAAATGAATTGTTACTCAGTAACATTTTCACAATTTTAATTTCTTTACAACTGCGGAATATTTTCTCCGAGCGTAATTGGGTTCAACAAGGTGACGGGTATAGTGACAATTATTTACACACTACATTTTTAACCGTTCATGAGGAGAGGGAGTTAATTTGGTGGTGGACCCGCTTGTTCATTTGTGATTTAACTGACAAATCCAGTCAAAAATGATCGGATCATTCAACATAACTTTTATTATCTGAATATATATATATATGTATCATTTATCGATGTAAACTTGATTTTAATTATTTTTTACTTTTGGTCACCTTGGGCTGAATTTATAGATTGCTGAAAATTATTAGAGAGGTTCATTACAGCGGCATTTTTTCATTAAAAAATAATATGTCAACCAAGTAAAACATTGAACACAAATATCGATGTTACAAATCATCCACTTCAAAAAATCGTTATTAAATCAATCGACATCAATCAATCAACAAAATATTTCTACTCTGGGACCTTTTTTTCTACCTAATGGAAACCACTTACTAAGAATTGTAAATGTCGATGTTTCTAAACATCGACGTTGAAAATATAATAAACATTACATGTAGGTCACATCCTTAACACGCGCACCCCATGTCCTTTGCCGGCGCGAACCTACTCGGCGCGCTGCTGGCCGCACCAGCCCTGCTCTCACATCGGACTCACATTAAGAGGACACCCGCTGCATTAGCGGTCAAAGTCAGCTTTCCACCTTTGAAAACTAACGTTCAAATTCACGTCAGGGAAATATTAGTGATGGATCTAGAGGGTTCAGGGCACGGGCTCTTAATTAATCGGGTTATCCAATAAGTAATCGGGTTATCCAGTAAGTAATCGG